AGCAGGAATATGGTAAATCATCAATGATTAGCCAGAAGTTCATACAGTGCATATTAGATATGTCTATGGTTGCCATAAATAAATTAAGCCGGGTTAATTTGTCGATGCACAACACGTAAAATGTCACTGAACAGCCCTTTTTCTATTTGAAAAATGGCTGATTTCGTCTGCGCCATCGAGTTAGAATCTATGGAGAGGGCATCACGTGACTAAAAACGACCTCACTTCGGCCATATTGTTAATACTATTGTTAATATTGCTTTGACGCTTTTGACAGATCGTATAAGTTTATTTACGTTTGTTGTTTTTCGAATATTTTAAGTTTTATAACACTTTTATAGAAACTGTAATATTATATTGTGATAGTGCATAATAATAGTTTTTTGTTCACAACGTAGTTGCAGTAGCAGAAGCAATGCTAATAAAAAATCTTCAGGAATAACGTTGTACAGGTTAGTATCATCTCATCATCATCCAGCCTCTATTTATCACGTCCACTGCTGGACATAGGCCTCCCTTAAACTCCTCCATTACTCACGATTTTGTGCTCTTTGTTGCCACTTTTTAGTGATACGCCTGATGTCGTCGGCCCAACGTGTAGGTGGTCTTCCTCTACTGCGTTTGTCTGCTCTTGGTCTCCAATTTGTAATTTTGCTCGTCCATCGTGAATCGTGCATTCTCGCTACATGGCCTGCCCAGTTCCATTTTAGTTCCGCTATGCGTTCCACAACATCAGTAATGCTCGTCCTTCTTCGCAGATCTTCGTTTCTTATTCGGTCCCTCAACGTCACTCCCAGCATAGACCGTTCCATTCGTCTCTGTGCCACTCTCAGTTTCAAAGCCGTGGTCTTGGTTAAAGTCATAGTTTCCGCCCCATAGGTCATGACCGGTAATACGCATTGGTCAAACACTTTTCTTTTGAGGCTGATTGGTATGTTGGCCCTAAGTGTGTCTCGCAGTTTTCCAAAGGCTGCCCATGTTAAAGTAATTCGTCTTTGGATCTCACATGTTTGGTTATCCCTGCTGATTCTTTTTTCATGACCCAAATACGTATATTTCTCCACCAGTTCTACCACTTTGTCTTGAATTGTCAAATGGTTATTTGGGACCAAATTTGTCATAAACTTAGTTTTGGTCAAGTTCATTCTCAGGCCCACCTTCGAACATGCAAAATCCAATTCGTTTAACATATCTGTAGCTTCTCCTAAATTATCTGTGATAAGGACAATGTCATCTGCGAAACGGAGATGGTTAAGCTTTTCGCCGTCTATCGTTACTCCTCTGTGGTCCCAATTGATAATCTTAAAGGCATATTCTAATGCCGTTATGAATAATTTCGGCGACAATGTATCTCCTTGCCTTATTCCACGATTCATTTTTATTGGTCGGGTTTTATTGTCTATTTTAACAGTCATAGTGGCATTTTTGTAAATATTATAAATAAGCTCACTATACCTATGGTCAATCCTGCTGTCATTCATTGCTTCTATAAGGCTGTCTAATTCGATCGTGTCGAACGCTTTATGAAAATCTATGAAAGTGAAAACAAGAGGTTTGTTATATTCTATAGATTTTTCAATGAATGTCTTTACTGTGTGGAGGTGATCATTGGTACCATAGTTTGAGCGGAATCCTGCCTGCTCTCTCGACAGGTTAGTATACAAATATGTAAACAAAGTAATGACCCGTACTTCAGAGAATAAATTAATAGTATTTGACTCTATTAATTTATCGTTATGTATAATATATCGCGTTTTTAGTGTTTACCGCGGGATAAATAAATCATAGTTTATTAAAAATGTATTGCACTTTTTAGATTATAGTTAAATCTTCTAAATAACTAGCCATATTTTTATAGTAGTTTTAGTATTATTGAGTCCGGCATGATCCCACCGCCATATTGGTATTATCGTTAGCCACACCTACCTACGCCGTTTTTAATACACACGTTAATATGCTCATAGCTTCTCCATAGATTCTAACTCGATGGTCTGCGCGAACGAGATGCGCATACTTATCTTGACAAGCACAGTGTGGGCATTCTGATTGTTTATTATTCTGTGCTATTACCACAGAATTATAAACAATCAGAATGCCCACGCTCAGATGCCGCATTTGAAGTTTTTCAGCACGCGTGCCATGTTTTAGAAGGAAACACATAACACAGACATATGATTTGTGAGGTTATGTAATTGTTTATATTTATGTTTAATTATATTATATTTATGTTATTATATTTAACAATGTTAATATAATTGTATAGTATGTCTATCATTGCCGTAAGTCAATTAAACCGGGTTAATTTTTCTATACACACCACATAAACAACACTGGTTCCCTCTAAAACATGGCGGAACGTCTGCGCGAAGGAAATGCCCGTACTTAATTTTCCATGAAGAGTGGGCATTCTGATTGTTTATTATTCTGTGCTATTACCTTTGAGGCCATGTCCGACGGTCAAATATTTGATCAAAAAAATTTACAGCATATGACGGCACATCCTGAGATTGATCAAATCCTCTAAAAATAGAGGATCTTCTACTTTCAAGGTCAGTTTGATCAAATTTTAATTTTGATTGGTCGAAAAATATCTAAAGTCAAATGACAATCAGTAGTTAGACATAACGTATTTAAATTAATTTTTTTCTTTGGTTGACAGTATGTGGTTTATTTGTTTTCCTAATGGACATGGACTTTACAGTGTTATCATTTTAAGATATAACGTTCTGTCGTTTTACGTTGGTAGTAATGAATTCGCAATCAATTCTTTTCTTTCTAATAAGAATATATAGCATTTTCATATAAAAAGGCTTGCACGTTATTTAAGGTTTATGACGTCAGAACCCCACAGCGTTGCCAAATGTACTGCCATTATTTCTTGTTCAAAATAACCTATCTTATATGAAAGCTTTCTACAGACTATTGCATAGCACAATCACAATACACAACAATAATTAGTTTTTAAAGCTATTAATCTAAATTTAATATGTATGTATAAAAACAATTTATTAATATATATATATATATATATATATATATATATATATATATATATATATATATATATAAATATATATATATATAATATATATATAATATATATATATAAATATATATATTATATATATATATTTTGTGGAATATTAAAATTATTTCAAAAAATTTATATTATTAATAAAAATAAATGTTTTTGGTTATTTAATCAATATTGTAGCATTTTCAAATTCATTGAATTTTTTTTGGTATATATTGTAATCCCCTCATATGTAATATATTAAAATCCCCTTATAGTAACGAAGAATAATAATTTTAGTGTATTCCATTTCCTAATCGTACGAGTTTAAACTCAAATATAGTTCAATTCCTTCTTAGGTCAGCTCGAGTTAATATAAACCATTTTAGACTTGTTTATTATTTTACAGATGTGTACTTTCTCGGTATTTCTTTAATGTTTTATTCGAACTGCCCGATATTGCGTTTTCAAATTAATAATTTACGTCTTAATTTTCGTTGTGTTTTGTTTATTTTAAGTGCTTTGTTTATTCTAACTTATGTGAATTAATTTTAAAGATAATTTCACCATTCTCGTTAAAATAGCTGCCAGAGGCAGACATTTTAGCTTAAGTTCAAATTTTTCAGTAAATTTGTAATGTCCTTTTGTTCTTCGTCCTACGTTATGGAAAATATTTAAGTAGCGGTTAATAGTAGTAATTTAATGGTAATTGCAGTTCATTTCTAGTCTCTGTTTTTTTGGAGAAAAAAGTTTCACGTTTTGTGTTCAATGCCGACTTAATAGTCAGTCCAATTCACAGTGTGAGATGCAGTCCTTCTGTTCGTGTGTTCGTGTCCAGATAGTTCAACCCCAGTTATAGTTGCAGTTATGGTTCCAGAAAATTTAATGTGTGATCAATTGAAATTCAGGTAACTTTTTGTGCATTAATTTTAAAGTAAAGATTGACATTTTTTTTAAATAATTACAATAATTGCTTTCGTTAAAATTTGAAGGATTTGTAATAATTAATAAATTGTAAAATTTTAGGGTTTGACTTTAGCTGTCAATGTATTTGTTCAGTTTTTCTAAATTTAATTTTAATATATGACAGCTAGTTTTATTATTGTTTTTATTAGTTTGTTTCGGTTAAAAAAAAGGTGAACCTCTAGGGATAGTTATTTCTAAAAGATATTTCTTTGTTTGCAATAATTTATTTCTGTATTATATTTGTGACTATTAATATAGTGTTTTTATATTGTCTATTTTGTAACTGTTTGTGGTAAGAGACATAATAAATGTTAAATTCTTTTTCCCAACATTTTGTTTATTTTTTAATTGACCTTTTTTTGAGTCTCGTTTGAAAAAGTTATGATTTTTCATTTTTAATAAATATTTCGGTAGTTACAACCAGCTGTTGTAATGGTTATAATTAGGCACCTCGAAGTGGTGTCCTTTTTAAATTACTAGAGGTGTTTAGTGTTTCCTTTCTGTGTTTTATTTTGTTTGTTTTAAGAGATTCATGACCTTTTGTTTCATTTTTCTGTAGTTGCTCCAATCCAACCCCCTTGTGATTTACTTATCCACGACCCCAGCTCTCCTAAGAAACCCTGAGTGCCGTTCGCATATGTTTCGATTATTTTGCTTGCCCTATCTCCACCCCCATAGTTTCTGTCCCCAATTTTCTATCTCTCATAATCTTACCCTATGGTAGGCAAAATATTTTCTTTACAATATCATTCTAAAATTTTTAATATAATGATGATTACATTTTTTTGATTATTATACTATGTTGACGCCTATGAAAGATCGAGCAGTTCCGTATGGGTTTCGTATTATTAGTTATGTTAGGAAAATTTGAACTCTGGAAAGTTGATGTTCTGGAAATTTTAAATATAAGTGGCGTCACTTTATATAAAGTGTGACGTGCAAGCATTTTTATATAAACAATCTTGTATATGTGTTAAATTAAAGACTTAATAAGTTTAATTAATAAGCTTTATATGTATTTTTATAATAATTTATTTAAAAATATTACATACATAATAAACACATTTTTTATATATTTTTACAACCTCTTAAACATAAGTTTTCCTTCTCCCTTGCTGCTCTTGTGAACCTAAAAAAAATAAGTGTGATAAAGTTACCACATGCTTAAACAAGTATTTTGAAAAATAAATTTGTTGTCCAAGGAGGAACACTTTATGCCATATCAATAACTCAATATAAGGTTGAATGTTCGAATAATTAAACTTTGAGGGTATACAAGGCAACTATAGAACACGGTGATTAATTTAATCTTGCCCAAGTACTTTCGATCAATAGATCATCTTCAGGGGCATTTCGTATTATTAGCTGACGAAATGCCCCTGAAGATGATCTATTGATCGAAAGTACTTGGGCAAGATTAAATTAATCACCGTGTTCGATAGTTGCCTTGTATACCCTCAAAAAAATATATCAATAACTGTTGTGGCCAAAATTGGACAGTCGCAGTCGTGGGATTTTTGTTACCTAATATTAAAAAAATGTTCATGTTTTTCCACAGATAGGTCATACTAACCTAATGATAGGGATTTTGCCCTCGTGAAAAAACGTGCAAAGACGAGTACTGCTCTTTATTCTCCTTGTGACTGGAACATATTCTACAGGGATCCAAAAAGAAAAGACTTTTAGTTGTCTAAAGAGGGAAGACATTTTCAATTCTTCTTATCTAAGAGAAAAGTTTGTCCAAACTAATTTTGGCATGAGCAACAGTGTAAAGTAGGAGATTAGTATTAGTAACCCTTATGCCATGCAAGTTTATGAAACATATTTAGAACTTTCTAGACCGATCAACTTAAAATAGGGTAGGCCTAATCTTTCGATGGAAAATTTTATAATAGAATAACCGATAAAGTATTCAGAAAGTTTGCCATTGAAGAGTCAAAACTGTCACATGGAATGTCTTGTCTACAGTGGATTCCTCCAATTTATCAACCGTTCTACAATTCACTTAATTCAAAGTATACTTTTTATTATTTCCTATTTGTAAGTTCGTTTGTAGTATATTACTTACTGCTTCTTTGCTGTTATTAAACTTTTGTCAATTTAAATAGTTTTTCTATTTTCAGTCCAAGTGCATTTGAACCTATTAAGTATAATTTTTCTTTACCAAGAGAGTCATGAAAAACCTGTTACGTTTTCTGTCGATAATTTGTTAAAAAAATTGAGTAATGACTATTACCCAGAAACACGTGTCAGGGAGTGGTAAGAGACTCAAATTAAATCGAAACGCAACATTCTTCGTATATTTATCGTCCCTACTCGACGCAATGAGTACAAAATTGATGGTTATTTATATGGGTAAATTGTTGGTACATAGTGGAATATTTATTCTCAGTACCGCTCTGAATGGCTTGTTTTAAGCTTGGGTATACAGTTTACTTTAATTGCTATCGACGTATCTTCATCTTTCCTCACTAGAGGTCTCTAGTTGCATACTCTGGTATTTATTGTCACGTAATTGCCAGAGTAATCGGTGCGTTTTGATTTGGTTTGAGTCTTCTTACAAACTCCTTCTGATGACGGGTAGACCCAAAAACACGTGTCAGGGAGTGGTAAGAGACTCAAATTAAATCGAAACGCAACATTCTTCGTATAATGACTATTGTTTTAAAATGAGTGTGCATGATTTCCGTCTTATTCAAAATTTTTGTGTTAACATCTTATGTTTAAATTGTTTATCATTTCAACTTTAAATAAAAGCAATAGTTTCTGCATTATAGAACTTTGACACTTAACAAGTTTTACGACCAGAGGTTCATATGGATATGAATATGGTGCATATTTGTTAGATAAAGAACACAGAAATTGAAATCAGGAGAGACGTTAGACAGGAAGTATTATATCTCGATTACAATTAAACAAGACAAGTAGTTTCTGTACAAAATATGGACTAAAAATAATATATAAAAGACTAAATATATGATGATACCAAAGGCAACAACCATTTAGGAGATGTACCAATAGAAAGGGATAGAACACAAATACCTGGAAACCTACATCTCAGAAAATAAAAATAATAAAAATAAATAAGTAAGAAATCTAAGATGCTATGTATTTTGGATACTAGAATATGAACTTGAAAGATGGACACTATAGCAAGAACACTAAAATAATCTACAGTCATTTGAAATGTGGTGTTACATAAGAATGCTTATCATGGACAAGAAGAAGAACACGGAAGTATTGCGAGAAATGGGCAAATAATACGAAATAATAATCACAACAATGATAGTTAGCACAGAAAGAAAGTTACAATAACTAGAATACGTAATAAGGGACATCGATACGAAATACTAAGATTAATAATACAGGGAAATTTAAAAGGAGGAAGGAGTATGGGTAGAAGGGTTGAAGGGTGAAAGAGTTTAAAGGACTGGTTTAAATTCAGTTCATTAGAACTTTTCAGAGCAATGGAAGATAAAGTAAAGATAGTGATGAAGAAAAAGAAGAAATAATACTATGAACAAGTATCACTATGATTGTGCTAACCTACTTAATAGTCATCATCATCATCATCCAGCCTCAAGAGTCCACTGCTGAACATAGGCCTCTTCCTCATGTTTCCAACCCCGTCTATCTTGCGCCGCTCTTATCCAGTTTTTATTGAGTCGTCTTAAATCGTCAGTCCATCTTGTAGGTGGTCGACCGACGCTTCTCTTGTCTTCCCTTGGCCTCCATTCCAATAACCTCTTTGTTCATCGCCCATCTGTCATTCTGGCTATGTATCCTGCCCATCTCCATTTTAGTCTGGCTATCTTCTCGATGATCTCAGTCACTTCGGTTCTTCTCCTGATGTCTTCGTTTGTTATTCTGTCTCGGAGAGTTATTCCTAACATGGACCGCTCCATTCTTCTCTGCGTGACTCTCAGTTTGGTAGCTACTGCTTTTGTTAAGGTAAGTGTTTCTGCTCCGTACGTCAAGACTGGGAGGACGCACTGATCAAATACCTTTCTCTTTAGGCATGTGGGCAGCTCACTTTTAAAAGTTTCTCTCAGTTTTCCAAATGTTGCCCACCCAAGGCCGACTCTTCTCTTCAGTTCATGAGTCTGGTTATCTCTGCCAATCATAATTTCATGTCCCAGGTATTTATATCTATCTACGAGTTCTATTTCTTTCCCACCAATACTGATGTTCTGGTTGGGCACCAAATTGGTCATGATTTTTGTTTTCGAGATAATTATATTTAAACCTACATTTTCTGTAGCCACAACGAGTTCCTATACCATCTCTCTTAGTATACCTAGATCTTCAGCTATTATAAGTATATCATCGGCGAAACGTAAGTTGTTTAGATATTCTCCATCTATTTTTATTCCCTTTGTCATCCAATCCAAATTCTTAAAAGCATGTTCTAGCACTGTATTAAAAAGTTTAGGTGACATTGGGTCTCCTTGTCTAACCCCCCGTTCTATTTTTATGCGATTACTGTTAGTATGTAATTTGACAGTGGTTGTTGCCTGCAGGTATATTTTGTATAATAATTTAGTATATCTATAATCTAGCCTGAATTCTTTAAGCGCCTGTAATATTTTGCTTAGTTCAACTGTGTCAAAGGCTTTGTGAAAATCGATAAATACTAGAACTAGAGGTTTATTGTATTCCACTGCTTTCTCTATTAGAAAGTTTTTTTATCTAAGAGAAAGAAAACTCTCAAAGTTTTTATACTTTGGAGATGGTCATTTGTTCCGTAACTTTTTCGGAATCCAGCCTGTTCCCTTGGTTGATAAGTCTCTAATTTTCTTTCCATTCTCTTAACTAGTATTCGCGCAAACAACTTATATATATATGGCTGAGGAGGCTAATTGGTCTGTAATTCTCTAAATTTGCTTTGTCTCCTGCTTTGTGTAATAGAATCATAGTAGCGTTGTTCCAGTCTATTGGAATATTGGCGATGTGAAGGCAGATATTGAAAAGTTGTTTAATTTTTTCAAGTAATACATCCCCTCCAATTTTTAGTGCTTCTGATACTATTCCATCTTCACCCGGGGTTCGATTATTTTTCATTTTCTTCAGGGCTTCTTTGATTTCTGATTTTGTTATATTGGGCATTAAATCTGATCCTTGGTTTAATACCACAGTTTTTAGTGTAATTGGAGGTTCCGTATTGTTATCTTTTTTTCTTGATCTATATAACTTTGTGTAGAACTCTTCGACTATTCTTAATATTTCATCTCTGTTTGTTGTTTCTTCTCCAGTTCTGTTTCTCAGTTTGTTAATTTCTATTTTCCCCTTTTGTACGCTCCTCTTCAAAACTTTCATGTTCTTATTTTTCTATATTGCCTGTTTTGTTTTTCCTACATTGTAGTTTCTTATGTCTTTTCTTATTGCCTTTGTGATCGTCTTATTTATTTGATTTATCGCTTCTTTGCTTGCAGTGTTATCTCCTTTCATTTGTCGCCTTAGTTTTATAAGGGTTTTCGTGGGTTGACTCAGGTTTTCATCTTTTTTGCTTGTCGGACAATATTTAATTTGAGCCTGTTGCATTGTGTTGACTATTTGTTTGTTCAATATATTGATGTCAGATGTTGTTGTATCTTTCAATAAATTCCCAATATATTTTTCGAACTCCTGAATGTTAGTTCGTTTTGTCCATTTCTTTGGTTGTTTCTTATTTATCATTTTAAGTCTTTCTTTTTCGGTTAATATCGTTATTTTAGCTCTTACTAACCTATGATCATTGCTTGTACTGAACTGGTTTAGCACATTTACGTCTTTAAATAATTCTTTTTTGTTTGTTTAAAAATAGTCGATTTCGTTCCTTGTTTTTCCATCGGGACTTTCCCATGTCCATCTTCTGTGTTTTTTCTTTTTAAAGAAGCTGTTCATTTGATAGAGATTGTTTTCCAAAAGGAAAGTCAGTAGTTGTTTACTTTTATCATTTCTGCCTTCGCTTCCAAAATTTCCCAATATTATTTTAGAGGGGTCTTCCTTAGTGCCTATTTTGGCGTTGAAGTCACCACCTATTATTAAGAAGTGGCCAGGATTTTCCTTGATTGCACAAGATATTTGGTCGTAGAATATTTGGACTTCTTCGTCTGGATGTCCTGTAGTAGGGGCGTACACTTGAATGAACTTTAGGATATATCTGGCGTTTATTTTGATGTTTAAGTAGACCACTCTTGTTTTTCTCTACTTAATAGTACTAACAAATATTTTACTATTCACTACACGGTGTTAAAACTTTGAGTAAATAATATAAGAAATGTATAAATTATTAAGAATATGCAGAGGTACTTACAATTACTAATCCATCTTCTGAAAAAGTGTGCGTTCTTGTTATTGATGTAGATCCATCATCTTTAAGACTTGTTATTGTGAGGACATTTCCGTCAAGTGTGGCCAAATTCTAAAAACATTTTGTTTTTAAAACTTACGTATTAGAGCAATTGCATATAAATACAAGTATAGAAAAGGACTTTTATTTCGAGCGAATAGTACATAGATTCTATTAATATATAAATTCAGGAAAATTCATTGCCAAGTGTGGGTCAAAAAGCGATGAGAGAAGATGAATATCAGGAGTGGCTAATGCTGTAAAGAGATAGCGACACTGAAGTGCAGCTGGGCAGGTCACGTGGTTCGAATGAAAACAGATAATCTAAAACGTTACAATAGTAATTGAATGCAAGAGGGACAAAATCGAAACATATGGAAATTGATGATGAAGGTCTATGTCCAGCAGTGGTTGGATTAAATGATATTGACATTACCAAGTTATTGAGAAGCATTTCTAAACTTAACCCATTATAGGCCATCATCCTATTTATATATTACTGAAAATTGTATTTTTTTTTCAATCCTTAAAATTTGTTTAAATTTAAAGAAAAAATTTCCATCTATATTTGAGGCTGAAGTAAACTAAATTATAATTTTTGTTGTATCATACTTCCAATATCCTTTCAATTAAAAAATTGTTTTATATAAACTCATGGACAAAAATATCGAATATTTTGGAATTTTTCTATAGCAAGCTGATGTACTTAACTGGATTGAAATATTTTGACGTTTATTAAGCGTTTCTTGTCATTCGTGCATTTTATCATAAGAAACCTGCTTCACGTAAATGAAAAAAGAAAAAAGGTACAAAACCATAGTAATTCGAATGTTTTTAGTTTAATCTATTAAGTTTAATTAAATACTGTTTTGATTAAACTAAGTTTAAAACAAATATGCCACCAATTCGACACTGCGATGAAGCAGCACAGATTTTAATTTGGTACGTGGAAGGATATACACAAAAACATATTGCACAGCTTCTCAGGAAAAGTCAATCTACAGTTTCGAATATTTTAAAAAGGTACCAAGGCCTAGTCAAGGACGCCCAAGGTGCACAATCGCAACTGATAACAATTTTTGGTTCTTAATTCTACAAGAAATCGCTCATTGACATTGATACACCTCAGAAATGAACTACTAAATATCAGACAAGTTAATGTGAGTTCAAAAACAGTTAGACGAAGATAAAATAAAAGCAAAACTTAAAGCCTAGACACCCTGCAAAAGTTCCACGTCTTTTCCAAAGCCATAAAGCTCGTCGTTTAGAATTTGCAAGAAGACATATTTATTGGAATATTGACCACTGAAAAAATTTCTTTTCACTGATGAGACCAGAATCCTATTACATAAGCCAGATGATCGAAACCACGTCTACAAATAAGTTGGAGCATAATGCTTTATGGAGGTATTAGTTGGAAGGGACGTACCGCACTTGTGAAAGTGATTGGACGCATTACTGGTGATACTTCCGTTCAAAATATCTTGCAAGACTATATTTGTAGGTAAATTATCTTAAAGAGATCCAAATTCGAAGATTGGACTAGCCACCATTTAGTCCGGATTTAAATCTAATAGAGCACATGTGAGATTAGCTAAAACGCTGCATACGACAAAGAAAGCCCGTTCCAATCACGATAGAGCAGCTTCGGCTTGCTGAACAGGATGATTGGAATACAATTTCCCAAGGATGTGTAAAAATTTACAGTAAGTGTGTACTGTGCAAGCAGTAATAAAAGCTAAGGGGGGGGGGGGGAAATACTCATCACTGAAAATGCACCTATTGCAATTAAAAAGACTTGTTTAAGCAATTTAAGACAGCATTTAAGTTTAGAGTAAAACATCCTTATTTACCTAGCATTAAACATTATTTTTCAGCATAAATACTTAATTGTTCATTAAACATTGTTAAAATAAACTCTTATTCACAATAAACTACCTGATTGACCAGAATTTATTTAAAAAAAATTTAATTGGGAATAAGCCACAATTTAAGATAACAATACGTTTATTGACGTTTTAATTTCCATTTCGGAAATCGTTCTCAAAATACAAACAGTAAATTAAAAAAATTTGTTTATTTTCTGTTTGTATTTTGAGAACGATTTCCGAAGTGGAAATTGAAACGTCAATAAACGTATTTTTATCTTTAATTGTGGCTTATTCCCAGTTAAAGAGTAACTAATTTAAAATGCCATAAGAAAATAGCTTCAGAACAATATAAATTTATTTTTATTAGACTCAGATTAAAATACAAATGCCGATAACTGTTTTTAACTCATTCATTCATACTTGCAATTAGGATAATACTAACGCCCAGTGATCTATTTATAGAACGGGTCAAATCCAAAAATGCATGTATATAAAATAATTTCGTAAATATTTCCATATTAAGAACAATATTGATGATAATTATGTACAATTTTGAAATTATAAAAAAAATAATTTTAGCGTTAATGGGTTAATACTTTCTCTGTGATTCCCTCTTTGATGGTAAAAACAGAACTGCTGGGGAATTTACTTTAAATATATTTAATGCCATTTTGTGCCTGTTTAAATCCTGGGATAACAGTGTTACTAGTAAAGAAGGAAATGTAGTTGTTCGTTTTTGGAATATGATCTGAAAATATTGTTCATAAAAAGATAATTTTGGTAAGGACGAAATATTAGGTTTTATATAACACATGCACTTGTTAAGAAAAATAAAAAATGATCACTGGGAACGCCTTTGAAAGTAAATGGAACAGGATTTTTATGGTTTGTAAAAGAAAATATGGCGATTTATAAGAGACCAAAGGACAGAAGTAAATGAACTAATAGAACCAAAACACATAGGAAAGGATACGTGGACTGACAATCTAAAAAAGCTCTATCCAGATAAAAAAAAAACGACGCTAGAACCGGAAACACCCGAAATTACCACAAATAAAAACTTAATATAAATATACAGGGAGTTCGTAAAATACCTAAAAAGCTAAAGAACAGAAGAACATCAATATTGTGGAGCAACAATGACAGAGCAATTAACAACATTAGTTATTAAAATTATAAAACACCATAAAATACAGGAAGAATGAAGAAACATCGAAATAATTCTACTATTCACAAAAGGAGATAAAAAACAGCCAGAAAACTACAGAGGTATATACTTGTTAAATACTACCCTAAAACTTACAACTAAAATTTTACAAGAACTAATAAATCAGACGATAAGTTTAGCAGATAAACAACAGGGGTTTCGTAGTGGAAGATCGTTTACATATGCAATACTCGTAATAAAGCAAATTACTGAGAAATCACTAGGGTATATTAAACCAGCATTTCTGTGTCTGATTATCATCAGCAGTAAACAAGTTATAGAAATAAAATATCTTGGAATTACATTTCAAACTATGCAGACCTGGGCAAATAAGTGAGAGATCAAGTACAAAAAGCAAATAGACTGGCAGGATGCCTTAATAACAGTATATGTCGAAACAGACACACTAACACTGAGATTTAGTCAAGAATGTCTAAAGCCAGTGTAAGACCAATAATGACTTATGCCTCAGAAACAAGACCCTACACAACCACAACACAAAGGCTACCAGAAACGGCAAAAATAAGTGTACTGAAAAGAATTACAGGAAATACGCTAAGAGATCGAAAGAGAAGTGAATACATCAGAAGAAAATGTATGACAGTAAAAAGAAAAAAAGGGGATAAGTCACCAATCGGCAGAAGAAGTATCGGACGACGGCGCAAAAGATAAAGCGACAACCTTTCATAGAGGTATTAATCCGCCAATGAACAAGCAGAATTGCTTATAAAGAGAACGAAGAAGAAGATATAATTTAGAACTTTACAACTTCTTTAATACCTTAAATTTCATTAGGAGTCAATATTAGATTCTGGATATGCTTTCCCTAAAAAATTGCATTTTGGAATATCTATTTTTACATAGAGATGAAAAAATGACTTTCGAAGAATTACCTCAAAAGAAATTATCTAAAAGACACCTATATATACATCCCCAATTTGGGAGGATACACCCTTAACAATTTTGTAACACTTATTAGCCAGATAAACAAAAGCAGTTGAGAAAAGTACAAGATTACTCAACGTTTAAGAAAAAACATTAAATACAAACTAAAAAAAAAATCTTAATGTATTTTCTTACTTTAACTTTACGAGGTCCCATTTGTTCTTCATATTCTTGTCCTAAAATGATTTCTGTGGTTCTTGTTTTGTCTGCGTTACCTTCAACGATATGACTTTTTGTCAGCTTGTTACCATCTAGTTTGAATTCCTCTATACTTTTCTCATCTCTCCAACGTTGGAAGAAATCTTCTGGTACTCCTATGATATTATGTAGAATTTATAAATATTCAACAAAAAATCAATATAATAATTGTTTAGAAAAATAAATGGATATAAGTAAAAACAAAAGTAAGTGAAGAAGAAGTTGAAAAGATTAAAAAGCAGACAAATTTGGTATTGCAACGGTAGAACTTAGTTAAAACACAAAATATTAGCTTGAGATATAAATTAAACATGAGTTAACACTTTATAATAATTGGACCTCATGGAAAGATTTAACACTTTATAATAATTGGACCTCATGGAAAGATTATGGTCAGTATCTTTGAACAATTAATAGGAGATCAATGGAAAAAATGTCTAAAGGAATATGTTTGAGGTCAAATAGACTGAATTTTATGTACGAGTTAAAAATGTCCACAATTCATATTTTTTACTAACAGCGTACATCACTGAAAAATTTAATATTTGTTTTTCGGGTTTTAGATCATGCAGAACTTATCAAAAATAATTTTTTTTTCATAAAACTAAAAATAAAATGTTTCCCATATGGGGCCGACTTAGGTGGACTCACTGTATTATCGATGAATAAGATAATAAAATAAAACAGGTGAAAATGGAGATAACATATTAAAATAATGAACCAAGGTGTTAGCTTGTAAAATATAAACCACGCCGGGGAAGAGACAGTTTTACGACCTCGGAGAATGCACGTGTTGTTTGTAGATTGTTTTTCCTAGAATATGCCTGTTCTGTTTTTAAAAAATCTTTCATTAGTGTACAGTTGTTCAAATAGTGACCTTGTGCAATTTTTAAATTTAAAAGTATGGCTGAGAGATTTGCTAGATCTGTTCAAATTGTTCATTTGATTGATAATGAAATTAGTTAAAGAGAAGTGGCCAGCTAGCTTGGAGTCAGTCGTTGTATGGGCCAAAAAACATACCAACCATTCGTAAAGACTGAATCTTATGAACGACGGCTAGAGAAGACCGTTCCTTACAACACACTTCCTTGCAAAATAGGTTCTTTATGGCTAGAGCAATCCAAAACTGTTTTTAATTTGCTCACGGGTAGACATTAAGTACTTCTACAGTGAGAAGAAAGTTAAGGAAATTTGGTTTAAGGGATTGCTGCCCAGCAACATGACTTTTGTTAAAAGCTACATAATCGAAAAAAGCGACTTGGGTTTGCTAGAGACCAAGAGCATTCGACGATAGAAGATTGGAAAAATGTCTTTTTTAGTGACGAGTTCCGAACGGTTGTTTATGGCTAAGAAGGTCTCATCAAAACATGTGGAAGATATAGGAAACTATATGCTGCTTGCGTTCGACAAGCCCGTGTTGCTTTTGGAGCAGGTTCAGTAATGTTTTGGGCAGGCATTTCATTCGAAGGCCGTACTAATCTCGTGTTTATTGATTAAAGAGTGTTGAATGCTTACCGATACATTACCGACATTCTAGACGAACACGTTGTGCCTTTTGCTGAATTTGTGGGTAAAAATTTTATTTTTTGCTATCATTTACCATCAAACGAACACTTACCATTCTGGCTACGTTAAAAGACGTAGCCAGGATGGTAACGCAAAACCTGGAACATGTTTAAGACCAACACAAATGAACAGTAAGAAACATAATACAGAAGCACCTTCGGTTATCACTCATGGAAGAATGAAAGCTTTTTCTCTTGACTACATCCAGAATTTTATCATTGTAATTCCAAGTCGATTGAGGAGCGTAATTCAAAATAAAGGGGGTAATACAGAATAATAAAAATTATAGCTTTATTGTAATTTTTCTAAAGAAAACATCCAAAATTACAGTGTAATGTAAATTTTCCATTAAAATCTTCATTTTGGGAGTATTTTTTTCAACATTTGCTACTTAAGAAATGGTTGCATACTTCTGAAGAACATATTATTAAACATTACAGAAACGTCTAATGTTGTGGGTTTGTAAAAATTAAGATATGCCAAAAAATTTAAGGTGGCTTCTTTTTAATGACGCGCAGTGTATATAAGAAATAATTGTCCGCACCGCAATTGGCTTTGTGTAAAAAATGTTATCCTAAAAAGTTTCACTAAATAATATTAAAAAAAAATGAATACAAATTCACAATCTTAAATTAAATTATTTTATAAAGTAAATACAAACCTTGACTGATCATGAACTCTTTGAAGCCATCTTCTCCAACATTAACGTATTTTCCAGTGACTAGAGACATTTTTGCTAAAAATTATAATACGTTCCTATTGATATTAACAAGTTTCTTGGGTGTAATGACGTGAAATAGACCTCACTATTTTAATTTATATATTTAAATAAAGGAATGTTATCAAAATTATTAATATTATAATACTATCTCGCATATTTTAGGAACTATTGTTTACTTTATGCTTTAATGATATCTTAGGATGGTTAAATAGGATGTACTTCTAAATATGTATAGTCTTATAAAAAAGAATGTCAAGGTTATGTAGAAAAGTGAATATACAAAAAAAGTTATTTATTCTTTAAAAATAAGTATTTTTTGTTTCTATATTTATATAGAACTTATGCATTCAAGATTCCGAGATGATTAACTTCCTAATTACGTGATGGATTTGGCCGTAACTTGAAGGAAATTTATTTTATCTAATAATAAAACACTTGCCCAGACGGTAACACAATCAATCAAATTGACCATGTAATTGTGGACGCAAGACATTACAACGATGTTATGAATTACGTACCAGACGTGGAGCAAACATTGACTCTGACCACTACCTGGTCCAGGCAAAACTAAGGACACGAATCTCTAACGCACAAAAGGTAACGGAAGCAAAGAAGCTAAGTTCGAGGTGGACAGACTACGAAACCCTAAGATAGTTAGAAAACTTAAACACAAACTTAAAGAAAAACTAAAAGATAATTACTGGAGTAAGTGCGAAAATATCCGAAAAGAAGTAGCCACAACAGTTGTAGGAAAGAAGAAACAAGAAAGGAAGGGGACAGAATGGTATGATGCGGAATCCGCACAGGCAACTTAGAAAAATAATCAGGCGTATGGGAAACTCCAAAACAGAAGGACAAGACAAAATCGAGAGGAGTACAAACAGATGAGACAAGCAGAGAAAAAGATACTAAAATAAAAGAAAAAAACGACGTTTAGAAAATTCAATTCACAAAGCAAAGCGCGAAAATTTTATAAAAATGTGAACCACAAAAGAAAAGAGTTAAAACCTAGAATAAGCATAATAAAAAGTAAGGAAGCCGAAATTATTAATGAGCCGGATCAAATAGTGGAAAGATGGGCGTAGAATTTTGCTGAGAAATTAAATATAGGCAACCAAGAAGTGACTGACATAAATGACTACAGTGGAAACGTAAACTATGAGAGGGAGAAAAATAATATATCAACCGAAGTAGTTGTCAAGGCAGTAAAAAGGTTTAAAAACAACAAATCCCCTGGAGAAGATGGTATACCCACTAAGCTGTTAAAGTATGGAGCAAACGTCCTAAAAAATACATAATAAAACTTGTTGCATCCATTTGGAGAGAAGGAAAACTCCCATGCAGTTGGAATGTAGGTATTATAATACCTATTCACAAGAAAGGGGATCCACTAATATGTGACAACTATAGAGTCATTACCCTCCTAAATACGGCTTACAAAGTACTGGCTTATATACTTTATGATCGATTACTAGTATATACTGAAGAAAAAATAGGCAACTACCAATGTGGATTCCGGAAAGAAAGGTGAATATTTGATCAGATTTTCCTTCTTAGACAAACCCTAGAAAAGACATATGAATATGGAATTGATACCCATCACCTCTTCATAGATTTTAAAAGTGCTTATGACAGTGTAGATAGAAGCGCACTTTATAATGCCATGGCAGAACTAGATATTCCGTCGCGTCTAATAACATTGGTAAAGGCAACTCTTTCGAAAGTCGAGTGCAAAGTCAAGGTACAAAACAAAGTATCAAGGTCTTTTCAAATACATTGGCTTACGCTAGGGAGACAGTCTATCGTGTCTATTGTTTAACATCCCGCTAGAAAGAGCCATAGAGAAATCGGTCATAACAACCAGAGGTACGATCAGCAATAGAAGTGTACAGATATTGGCCTACGCAGGTGACATTAACATAGACACACGGACAAAGCGAGACCTGATACAGGCTTTTGAAACATTAGAAAAAGCCGCGAAGACAATGGGACTACAGGTTAACGTATCCAAAACAAAATACAACAAGGTCACAAACAGCACACAAATAGCGGCACCACAAGATCTGGTGACAGAAGCACACACATTCAAAGGGTTCTTGGAGTTTGTATATCTTGGAACACAACTAAATAACAGCAACCTAGTAAACGTAGAAATTAAGAGAAGAATATACCTGGCGAACAGAGCTTACTTTGAACTAAAGCAGTTCGTAACATCACACATAATTAGCAGAAAAACCAAGATACTAATACATGAAACTCTTATTAAACCTGTCCTGACATACGCGTCAGAGACATGGACTATGATAAAAAGCGACGAAGAACTGTTAGGCCGCTTTGAAAGACGAATACTTAGACACATATATGGAGAAGTACAAGAAAGCGGGATATGGCGCAGGCGCTACAATTTTAAGTTGTATGAATGCTATTAAAAAATGCAATATCGTCCAGTCTATTAAAATAAATAGACTAAGGTGGCTAGGACATCTTGAAAGAATGGACACTGGAGACCCCCAAAGAGAGATATTCTATCAAGAGCCAGGAACCAGGAAAAGAGGCAGGCCAAGATCTAGATTCAAAACTCAAGTCGAAGATGACTTGAGGAATCTAGGGGTCAGAAATTGAAAAGCCAGGGCGAAGGATAGGGGAAAATGGAGACTAATTCTTGAACAGGCCGAGACCCACCTAGGGTTATAGAGCCAAAGATGATGATCATGAATAATAAAACATTAAAAGGTTTTGTTTTCACACTTCCACAAAATTTATTATAATTTATTTATCACTACAATGATTGGACAGAGTGCCTTTCTTAAGTGATTTATTTTTGATATGGTTTTTTACTTTATAGTCTTTAACTCAATAAGTTGAGGTGGGGAGAATTATTTGTCTCAAGTAAGTCATTCGCAAGTACGTCTGTATTTTTAATTTGTTAATTTCCATTAAACGAATGATTATGGTCTAGAAGGTGAAATGTGTAGGTGTAAGTTTTTTATAAGTTCTACCAGTTTAACCGATGTAAGTTTTTGGGCAGTAGCCACATTTAAGTTTGTGTACACCACTTTATAAGTAGGAGAGAGGGGGGCAAGTTGTTACACGGGCAAGTTGTTACACAATTATTTTAAAACGCAGCAAGTATCATGAGTTGCCGATATTTTATGGAAAGTTGGGTCAACCGACCCGTCATCTGTGAATGAATATTGATACTCAAGTCAGACATCCATCATAGTGTTATTGCTTAGAATGTGTTTTCGGGTCTAAAACTGTACCGTTGTCAGGTGGCTTTTGTTTTTATTTGTGAGAAAATTGGTAAGTAGTATAAATATGTGTATTATATAGTTTTGAAGCGTATATATTTCTCGTTATTGGCATGCTATTGTTAGTAATTGGTTCTCAATATTTACCAAAAAACGTTGACTTAACCTCATTTCGTACACGTGGGGCCAGTTGTTACAATAATCTGGGACCAGGTTGTTACTGTAACAACTTGCCCCGAACACGTTAATGTAAGAATATATCGAAATACCTACAATGGTTACAATATGGTTACCATAATTTATGATTTCACTAAAAATCCAATATTATGATCAGATATATTTTGTAGATAGTAATTTGTTTGTAATGAATAGCATACCTACCTACATTTATTTTCGCAAAGCATGTTAGAAACACAGATTAGGTTTTATTAAATTTTTCTATCATGAAATTGTTTTGGTTGTTTTCAGATAGCTTAACATGTTGCGAACGTATACCAAGAAAACCACAAGGGGTATTATTCCAACCGAACAATTTGAAAGGGCGGCGCAATCGGTTTTACAAGAACACTTGTCAGTTAGGGATGCTGCTACTCGCTATGGAGTTAATTTTATGACATTGCACCGCTATATGAAAAGAAAATCAAACTTAGGTGCTGAAAACAGTAACAAGAACTTAGTCGGCTACGCTACGGCCAGAAAAATATTTAACAATGCTGAAGAAGAGGAACTTGCCGAATATACTGAGCATTCTGCTAAAATTTATTACGGCCTTACAACTTCTGATTTGAGAAAATTTGCATTTCAATATGCAACAGCCAACCAAATATCTGTTCCGGAAAATTGGAAGGTTAATGAAATAGCTTCCAGAGACTGGCTATATGGATTTTTGAAGAGGCATCGAACTTTATCAATCCGGACACCTGAAGCTACTAGTATGGGTCGAGCTACCGCGTTTAATCGTCATAATGTGTCACAGTTTTTTAACAATCTCGGCGAAGTTTATGATAAATATAAATTTGAGCTCCAAGAAGTGTACAATATGGACGAAACTGGACTTACAACTGTCCAAAGGCCTACAAAAATCATTGCAAAAAGGGGAACTAAGCAGGTAGGTGCTATCACATCTGGAGAAAGAGGTCAACTTGTTACCTTGGCATTAGCTGTCAATGCAACTGGAAATTTTGTACCTCCATTTTTAGTATTTCCGAGAAAGAAATTCAAAGATGTTATGGTAGCCAATGGACCTCCTGGTTGTGTAGGTGCGTCTCATTCCTCTGGATGGATGACATGTGATAACTTTTTGTTGTTTATAAAACATTTCGTCCAGTTTGTAGGATGTAGCAAAATGAAACCCGTTTTGATGGTATTAGATAATCACGAGTCTCATTTGTCTATTCCGGTGTTGAATTTTTGCAAAGAAAATGGAGTGGTTCTTTTAAGTTTCCCGCCACATACATCACACAAGTTGCAGCCGCTTGATAGGACGGTATTTGGCCCACTTAAAAGATATTTTAATAGTGCTGCAGATGCATGGTTAAGATGTAATCCCGGTAAAGTAATGAACATTTACGATATACCTATCGTTCTTAAAGATTTATTTCCTCTTGCTGTTACACCTCTCAATATACAAAAAGGATTTAGTGTGACAGGAATTTGGCCATACAACAGAGAAATTTTTCAAGATGATGAATTCTTGCCTGCAGAGGTAACAAATAGGCCAATAACAGAAAATATAAACGCAACAGTAGTCATAGATCCGGCACCTATTGGCACCGAAACACATAGAACTCCTTCCCAACAGCAACCTTCTACAAGCACAGATTTTAACTTGGCGATAAATG